TCAGTTTAAGCCCAGTATTTTTATCAAGAAAACTCAAATGTTCTCTGAGTGAAAAAAACCACCCCAATACGTTGGCTATAGACGGTACATGTTGTAATACTTGTACAAACAGAAACCCATTCATTCATAAAGCTAACTTTGTTCAGCGGTGGCGCTAACCTAGCTGCATGTTAGCCTCTAATATGAACCTTCCTTTGTTCAAGTTGGTGATTTTTTTTCATTATAAAAACAACCATCTGTGTGTGTGTGTGTGTGTGTGTGTTTGTTTGTGCTGACAGGTTTCCTGTGGTCGGAGTGGATTACTGACTTCAGTAAGGAGAGAGAACACCACTTCAGGTTATAAATTCTGTGGCAGTGATTTCACTGCATAAACCAGTGGATCATTCCAAGACTTTTCCGCCTCCTCCTCCGCCTCCTCCACTTAATCAATGAGTGCGTTGTGTGAATTCTCAGGTGTTTGGACATCTTATTAAAAAAAAGTCCAAATCTCCCAACAAACAATGCCACTTTGACAAAACCAAAACCAGCTGAGTCACTGTACCTGAGGAACACTCATCACCCCCCCTGCCTCCCACCAAAAGTTTGACCTCAGAGATCCAGCTGTGCTCCGTTTATGACCCCCCTCTCTGAATCCTTCACTATTCAGCATTTCACGTTACTATTGGAAGAAACCCAATGTCTGCCTCCTCTCCCCCGTCCTTACCTCGAGCCTTCCTCCACTCTCTCCATCCACACCATCCGTCGTCGCCAACCCTGCCAGGACCGCTCTACACGCGGCTGTCCAACGGCAGTCACAGTGCCCCCAGTCCCACCAACTCCGGCGGCTCCTTCCATGGGGTCTCCTTCCTCCTGCAGATCGGACTGACCAGAGAGACGGTGAACCTGGAGGCTAGCGACCTGTCGTTGTCCGCTGTGAAGGACCTGGTGTGTTCCATAGTGGACCAGAAGGTAAGGCCATCTTACATGTGTATCGCTAATCTCGACCTTTTCAACCTTGAGGGTGCAGCCCCATGTGGGTTTGCCTGGAATTCATATGGGGTCGCCTGAAATGGCTAATTATTGATTGAAAACGATTACTGATAAAAACATTTTTTCAACTACCTTTTCTGGACCATATGTCACTCTGGAGTATAAGTCGCACCAGCCAGAGGATGAAAAAAAAAGTGAGACTGTGAGGAGTAGCAGATACGGGTATACAAGCCCTTTTGCGACCGGGTCAGGGTGAAAATAACAAACGTGTGAAATTATATATTTTAATATATAAGTCGCACCTGAGTATAAGTCGCAAACCCAGCCAAAGGATGAAAAAAAGTGTCACTTATAGTTCAGAAAATACGATATTTAAGTTTTGATTTAAGTTTTCGAGAACTCCGAGATTTTTTTCTTTTCAACAAAAAAGTGTGACTTATAGTTCGGAAAATACAATATTTAATATTCTTTTAAAAGTTTTGATTTAAGTTTTCGAGAACTACGAGATTTTTTTCTATTCAACAAGTCAAGTCATTATATGTTAGCATCTGGTCTTGTGCTCCCAATGAGGTGTGTTAGCTTCTGTCAAAAACCACAGAAGCTAACACGCCACAGAAGCTAACACGCTACAGCATTGATGCAGTGATGTAGCAGCAGCGGCTTACACCGCATACAAACGTACTCAATGATTCTGCGTTGTATAAAATTTATTTCACTGAATTTATTTTCTGCTTAATCTTGCATTACCTTAGTCATTTGTCACAACGACACTGGGCCGTAACCTCAACTGAAGTGAAGTGATTGGGCCTTAACATCTTATTTTGGTCTGTTTGGGAATAATTAATCTTCGCTTCACCTCCAGGCACCAGCTTCAGTGCCGCGTTCTGTGAGCGATCCCTAAATGCTGATCAGGGTTTGTGTCTGCCAGGGACTTTGAGAGCTTTTTAAATTCATACCCAGGGATTATGGCGTCAAACATTAACTTTTGATGTTTCCTAATGTGCACTGACCTCATTTCCTAAAACGCTAACGCACGATAATGCTTGTTATGCAAAAAGTTTTGCTGAGGGGATGAAACCCTGAAGCAACAAATGCCAAAAAGATTAAAACATAAAACAGTTCAATAAAACATTTTTTTTGGCACACATGTAAGATGTATAACAAATTAAAAAATACAGCAAATAAAATGTTGTATAATACTTAACACAGTTGAGTTACATTTATTAAGTGAATTATATTTAATTTTACATTTAATTCTTATACTTAATTATGACTGATAATTAAACTTTAATTAGTTTGACTTTTTGGCACATTTATACTATAATATAAACATAAGGGATGTCAGATAAAATCAATAATATGGTCCAGATATTAGCATAATAATGATCTAATAATAATAATCTCTATCAGAATCATTATCGGATTTTCCTCCGATATTGAAAACCTGATAACGCAACGCCTAGGTTTCACCAAAATCGCAGTTTTTGGTTAATACGGCTTCATATCGGTATCTGTTGATACCGTAATCTACAGTAATATCAGACATCCCTAACAAATATATATATGTATTTAATAAGCTACTTTAATACACGGTAATAGATGTCCCAGGTTAGTATAGAGCACTATTCATCGTTCCATCATTTCCACAGTTTCTTCTTATTGAATGAATTTAGGGCTGCGTAAAAAAAAAAAGACTTATCTGATTAATGGTCTTTACAAATAATTGTCGGTTGCAGCTTAGAATATTGAGTGTCGGTGCTGCTAATCTCTGACCAATCGTTTTATACAAAATGCATTTCCCAGTTATGAGGGATTAATGATGTGGAAAAGCCTGCTGGAATAATGAAATGGCCTCTGTGTGCTTCCTTCACACGTTGCTGTATTTTTAACCTACAACATGACGATCACTCCACTCCATTTGTCTCTATAATTCTCATGGACTGGGTACAGGGAGAAGGAGATTAAAAAAAAAAAAACACTTTCAATCTGAAAGTTTTGGTTGGACAGCGCTAGTCATCGCTGCCTCCGCGATGATGAAGTTGTAATAAACCTCGAGTGAAAATCGCCCTGACAGAGTTATCTGTGCCGAGGCCCGTGTCCTTTGGTTCGACGTTGTCCAAGTTGACATTCCAGAGCAGCATGGTAATATTGTTGTTCTTTACGAGGTCTGCTGATTCTCACTAGCTAGTTATGAACAGTTCTGGTCGGCAGAGCAGAAAATCTCATCACTCTGCGTATTTACATGGATCCTGTAACCTTGGCATAAGACACAAGACGAGAAACGCACGACACGAGCCTCAAAGAAAAGCAGAAGTGCGGCTCTTTGTTGCTGAACGTTTGCCACAGGGCCCTCAGAGTACACAGTACACACTACCGCTTTCTAACCGTGTACTACTTCATATCACATACATTCATCTGAAGATGCCTCAGAGGGAAGGAAGCTGTTCAATCTATGGCCAACAGTCGTGGGAACTTTACAAAAAAAAAAAAAAAAAATCGGAACAAAATGTATATTGTTTTCACCACTACGTGCCACCGCTCCGCTCCAGTATCATAGCATCCAGCTGATTCACTCACATCATTGTGCGTTTCTTCTATTCAACGCTGCCAAATGTCGTGCACTTCCTAAACTATTTCATGAAACCCAGCCATGTGGCTTTGATATCAACGGAAAATATGACTGTAGGCTTTCTGCACTCTTCAGTCCATCCCTGCCCTTCTTCTTGTTCAGAAATATGTATGACAGAACCAAGCCTCTGTCAGACAAAGCCCGTTAATGCCTGACACCTTTTCCAGATGATGATCTCTGTCCTAGTTCAGCAGTTTATCGTCTTCTAGGCTAGCTCCAATAAATGTAAAAAACCTCAAGGTGTCTCTCGGCAGAGGTGAAAATGCGGAGGACTTGTGGTGGACACGGACATGTCTGAGTGGAGATGGAGGACGACTGAAAGTTCTCTGCTCCCATATATCCCGTATGTGCTGCTGAGAGCTGGTGTGCGTTCTTCTACGTTAGCCTTCTCTTTGCTGATGAGCATACGGGTGTTCTTGAAAAGTCTGGAATTAAAAACAGAGGGTCCTTGACTTGACGTCAGAGTTCCGTTCCTACACTGTGTCGTAACTCGATTTGTTTGTAAGTTGGAACTCACATACTGTAAATAAGTACCTATGTCCACACCTAATTATTAGGTACAGAGATCATTAAGTACAGTAATAACATAATTAACTATAAATTACTATAAAGTCCATGTTTTTTTCCCTTTGTTTTCATGCAAATAAGTACAAATATATTAGATATATATTGCTAATTATTAATATTTAATGAAATATAATTTTACAAAAAATATCCTGAAGGCTTTGTGTATTTTTCTTATCTTTTCTAAATTCATCAAGTGGACTGGATTGAACACGCTAGCGGGCTGTTTTTGGGCCGCGGGCCGTATGTTTGACACCCCTGGTGTAGGACATAAAAACATCAGAAGAGAATGACTTACTCTTAGAAGCCAAAACGAAGGGCAAAAAATGTCTAAAAAAAACAACGCAAATGAAAAAAAAGTAGCACAATCCGACCTGCAAAGGGAGATGGCGACGTAAGCACCTCTTAGAAGCCAAAACGAAGGGCAAAAAATGTCTAATAAAAACAACGCAAATGAAAGAAAGTAGCACAATCCAATGTACGGCGTACAACCCGCAAAGGGAGATGGCATCGTATTCACAAAACGCCGTAGGTCGTAGGACATCGTAAACTAACGACACTCTGTAACGGTTCCTCTTTTTCTGAACTGTGCGGCACACTGGTTTGCAAGTCAAGACATTTTTCAGGCTAAATATTTTAACATAAAACAAAAGCTCAAGATCCTGGGCTAATGCTAACTAGCCTCCTAACTGTCCCTTTTTTTATCTTTATTCTTCAAATGGAGGTAAAATCACCCAGCAGATAGAAGAACACACACAGTGTTTGTGGGACTCAGAACTGTCCTTAGTTCTTGGTAATACAGTTGGTCATATAAGATAATTACTTACTCATGAAATTGCGATTTTGACACGTGGATTTGTTTACAGCTTTGTATTCAGCGGTAAATTCATGAAATAATCAGGTCATGTTGTGCTTCACACGTATGCACTGTGTGAACATAAACAATGTTCCAACGTTACCGTGCACATGAGGATCATGGTGAAGCGGTGTACGTACAGCAGTCGGCCAAAACATTATGGCCACCTGCCTAATATTACACAGTAACACATCTTTATGGGCTATAAATATAAGCCAAGTTGTAGAACTGTGAAATGTCCAGATGTTTGCGTGCGGCGTTTCCCTTTTATTGTTTATATAGAGTCATGGCTTTAAGGTTGACATTTTATACCTTTCCTGAACCCTCTAGGTTTGGATCACTCTCATTGTTCGACTGGGAGTCAGGCAGCCACTTGTTAAAGCAATGTATTGTACAGATTTCATACCGCTCGTTCCTCTTCCTGCTAGCGGCTCGACCACATGACTGGGCCGGAGCCCACAGAATGGCTTAGCTCTGATCTGGAGTCAGTTTTGATAGCGTCGGTTTGGACCAGAGTCACTTCGTTTTGTGGTTAATGTTAAATGCACTCCACGGCAGCTTCAACTTCAACCTCGGGCTCGGTCTCTCAGACCTCACTCAAACCTGGTATTATTATTTGTCCTGAGTGACCTGATCACATGTGGACTGCTCTAAGTACATGTCTGAATGCGAACCAATCCATCCTGAATGCGTCCACAGTTCTGATCACAAAAACCACATTTGAAGGCGGTTTTTTTGAGGACGAATGTGGCCGCATTTCTGAGCATGCAAGAACCCACTCCATCCACAGAATGGATTAAAGGCTGTCTTTACCGCTGACACCCCCCGACCTGCTCCAGCTTTACTATAAAAATATACTTTTATATTTATATATTTTCTCCTTTTAAATGCTGGTGACGTAGTACAGTGGTTTCCAACCCCTGGTCTGGG